TTTGGATTTGTGGATTAGGGTCTGTACTCTACTGTACCATTTGTATTTATGATATGGGATTTTAGTAGGAAAGTAATCTTGTGGGTTCACCAATTAGTTCTTTTGGATGTAGGGAAGAGTAAGTGGGAGGTTCTGATTTGTGATAATATTATTAAGTGCTAGATAGTACCTGGCACATATATGGCTTTATATGTGTCATCTTTTTGGGTGTTTTTTTTTTTTTAATATTCACTTTTTAGTAGACAGTACTTTTATTTTATTTATTTTTATGTGGTGGTGAGGATCGAACCCAGTGCCTTGCATGTGCTAGGTGAGCACTCTACCGCTGAGCCCCAGCCCCCTTTTTTTAAAAAATATTTATTTTTTAGTTGTAGTTGGACACAACACCTTTATTTATTTATTTATTTATTTATTTTTAGAGAGAGAGAATTTCAATATTTATTTTTCAGTTTTCGGTGGACACAACATCTTTGTATGTGGTGCTGAGGCTCGAACCCGGGGCTGCACGCATGCCAGGCGAGCGCGCTACCGCTTGAGCCACATCCCCAGCCCCACCTTTATTTATTTTTATGTGGTGCTGAGGATCGAACCCAGACCTCTAACGTGCTAGGCAAGTGTTCTACCACTGAGGGGCAACCCCAGCCTGCCCCGCCCCCCCCCCCCCCCCCCCCCCGCCATTTTGTTTAATTCTTAACAATTGCATTCTTTCCTCTGTTTTACAGTTGAGTAGAATGAGGCACAGGGTTTAAGGAGCTTGTCCTAGAGCACACAGAAGTTGTTGGGCTGTGAACCAAAGCAGACTGTTCATAATCTAAGCCTTTAGCTACCCCACTGCTCTGTGTACTCAAGAAAACTTGGTGACCAGCTGGTAGAGTCTTAGCCTAGGAACAAGTTGCAGACCTGGGAGCTCCTAAGGACACCTGAAGCCAGAGAGGCCCCATTGGAGAGAATAAGCCAGACTCTGGAAGGAAAACTAGAGCAAGCGTAGCTGCTGATACTTCCTTCAACAGCCTTGGACTGGCCTTGGAACAGAGTTTGAGAGGTGGTAGTAATACATGCACAGGAGAGGCCAAACTATCAGTTGCAGTGTTGAGATATGGCCACCAGGAGGCAACAAAAAGTTGGGTTTGCTACAGGAGAGGGACTGAAAAACCCCCTTCTCATCCTGGCCTTCCTTTGTACTTCAGGGCTCACTCGCTTTGACCTGCTGGGTGACTTTGGACGCTTCAACTGGCTGGGTAATTTCTACATCGTGTTCCTCTACAATGCAGCCTTTGCTGGCCTCACCACACTCTGTCTGGTGAAGACCTTCACCGCAGCTGTGCGGGCAGAGCTGATCCGGGCCTTTGGTGAGAAGGCGTGGGAGGTGCAGGCTGGTAGGGTGGTTATATGATAGGGCTCTAGACCAGGAGTCATTCCTGCTGGGGGAGGGCTTGCTTCTTGTTTTCTATGTAACATATCTCATCCACCCATTTTGTACCCTGGTTGTTTTATCCTTGAGGGACTAGACCTAAGCTGTCCTTCTGATTGTGTACTCTCCCCCACTTCTCCAGGGCTGGATAGACTACCGCTGCCTGTCTCCGGTTTTCCCCGGACATCCAGGAAGACCCAGCACCAGTGACCTCCAGCTGGGGATGGGAGGGAGAAAACTGGACACTGCCATCTGCTTCCTAGGCCTGGAGGGGAGCCCAAGGGTGGTTGGACCTCAGGACCTGGAATCTGAAAGGGTGGGTGGTAGAGGGGAGCTGAGCCATCTGCACTGTTGCTAATCTGAGCCAGAGTTTGGGACCAGGCCCCTGCTTTTCCAGACTTAACTGTGGCCTCAGCATAGGGTGGAGCTAGTTGACTGGATCTGGCTCCTGGTCCCAAATCCGTTTACACATCAATCTGCCTCACTGTTGTTCAGGGCCATGCCTGTAGTCATGTTTACATGATTTGATGTGCAATAGGGTAGGGAGGGGGTGGGAGGGACTGGGCAAGGGGCAGGCTTGAGAGGCAGGTTGTCTCCCTTGCCTCTGTCCCAGCAAGCCTTAGCACTGTGCTATCCTAGAGGGGCTTTGGACCACTGGAGAAAATGGGGGCATAGGGTGAAAGAGGCTGCACCCATCAGCAATAAAGTTGATCCCAGGGTTTGCTTTGGTTTTTTTAAAGAGCCTGTCTCTGTGACTATTTGAACAGCCTTGTTCCCACCAGTCCTGAGTCTACCATCTGAGAAACAGAGGGATCTTGCCGCCATCTTTTCCTTCCCTTCTATCTACATTCTCAGTGTTATTTTGGTACATAGATCTAGTATTAGGCCATATAGTTGAGCAGTGGGAAGCTCCTCTTCCTTTTGCCTTGCTTAAAACTGGCTGGTCCCGCAGGGTGCCGTGGCAGATGTCTGTAATTCCAGTGGCTTGGGAGGCTGAAGCAGGAAGATCACAGAGTTCAAAGCCAGCCTCAGCAACGGCAAGGCACTGAGCAACTCAGTGAGACCTTGTCTCTAAATAAAATACAAAATAGGGCTGGGGATGTGGCTCAGTGGTTAAGTCACCCTGAGTTCAATCCCCAGTCTCTCCTAACTCCCCCCCCCTAAAAAAAAAATGGCTAGTCCCCTGCTCTTTCTTATACTCATGACCTTGTTTCTGTACCTTTGGAATTGGGGGTTGTAGGGCATAAGAACAGGAATAAGATAACCTCCCCATATATACTCAACCTTCAGCCCTGTCCTCCCTGATGTGACAATTGGTATAGACTAAAAGAAGTGACTGCTAGTGAGAGCTGTGGCACATGCTTATAATTTCAGTATGTTTGGGAGGCTGAGATAGAAGGATTGCAAATTCAAAGCCAATCTCAGGAACTTATTGAGGCCCTAAGCAACTTAGATCCTGTCTCAAAAAAATGAAAAGGGGAGCTGTGATTGTGGCTCAGGGGAAGAGCACTTGCCTAGCATGTTTGAGGTACTGGGTTCAATCCCCAGCACCACATAAAATAAATAAAGTTTAACAAATAAATAAAAAGGGCTGGGATATAGCTCAGTGGTAAATTGCTCCTGGGTTAAATCCTTAGTATCCCCCCCCCCCCCGCAAAGAAAAGTGACTGACAGGTTTTTTTAAAACTTGTTTTATTTATTTATTTTATGTGCTGAGGATCAAACCCAGTGTTTCATAAGTGCTAGGCAAGCATTCCATCACTGAGCTACAACTCCAACCCCACACTGACAGGGTTTTTTGTGTTTTGCTTTTTAACATATATATATATATATATATATATACACACACACACATATATATATATGTAATTTATTTTTTATGCGGTTCTGAGGATTGAACCCAGTGTCTCACTCATGCTGGGCAAGTGCTCTACCACTGAGCCACAACCCCAGCTCTCAACAGGGTTTTGATTCCTACTTCAGAAAAGAACCTAACTTCGATCTTTGTAGAGGCTTTCATTTCCTTGAAATCTCCTTGCTATGTTGGGAATTAGGGACAAAATTTCTGCTTAGATTTTTCACTGTATAACTTATGGGACAACTGTTCACTTCATAGTCAATGTATATTTGTTCACTTCAGAGTCAATATATAGTTGTAACTTTTTTTCCCCCCAGATTGAACTCAGGAGCACTATACCACTGAATTATATCCCCATGTATTTAATATTTTTTATTTTGAGATGGGGTGTCACTAAGTTACCCATGCTGACCCCAAACTTGTGATCCTCCTGCCTCAGTCTCCCAAGTAGCTAGGATTATAGAAATGTACCACTTTCTTTCCCTCTCCATCTCTATTTATTTATCTTGGTGCCAGGGAGCAAATCCCACCCCCACTCACACACACAGCCTCACATAATGCTAGGCAGGTGCTCTACCACTGAACTACACCCCAACTTCCATGACCGTTTCCTTATAACTGGAAGTCTAATGTCTTGAGGAAGGGTTTTGTTTTTCCTAACATACACAAAGTTGGTGTGAGTGCCAGCTATGGAGCTAGGTGAGGGAAGGGTGAGTGTGGAATACAAAAAAGTGTGGATTCCACAAATGCTTGCTGAGCACTGTACTAACCACTTAGCCTTGGAATTACATGACAAACAAGTTTGTACTTAAATGCTTTGTCTAGAAGGATACCAGATAATTCTAACAGTTTACTAGCATAATAGTCAATTGCTGTCTCTTACAGGAACATGGGTGGGCAGTATTAGAACATCATGAAAGACTTCCCAGAGGAAGGGATTTATAAATGTTAGAAGTAGGTGAATGAAGTGCCTCTGAGATGAGATCTGAGTGGCTTGAAGTAGAGCCCGGAAGAATCCAGAGGCTACCGAAGTGCCTACCTGGAAGATGAAGGAGGATGATCATATTAGTCTTTTACAGAGCAGGACTTTTGATAAGTGTTCCCTGTCCATCAGCAACTTCAAATTGCAATTTATTCATTTGGAAAGAAATTAGAAGGTGCAAAGTTGGAAGTCCTAAACAGAAGTATAAATACCAAACTCTGTTCCTGGTTTTGGGGGCGTTCCCACTGGAAGACTATAAAGTTACTAGGGAAAATGGTCCCCTGGGATCCTTGCCTCCCATTCCTGCTTACTGCTGAGTGTGAAGAGAGAAATGGGGGAGGTTTGGAGAGAACCACAGAGAAGGGAGGCTCTGGTTGTATGCCCAAAGGGCTTGGCTGGCCTTGAGCAGAAATTGGAACCCATACTTCCTGGATGACAGCAGAGGGCATGGCCTGCCAGGGTAGGCTTTGGGAGAGCAAAGACCAATTCAAGGATCAGAGGAGAATGGTTTAGTTCCAAATTTAGGTTTGGAGGTAGAAGGATGCTTATACAGGCAGCCAAGGACTGTAAAGCTACAAGGATTTCCTAGGCAGGTGTCTGCATGGTTTCCAGGATGGGACACACTTCAGTCGCGAAATGGAACAGTGGTGACCGGCTAGATCCCCCGCCCGGGTGGGAGGGGGCGGGACGGTCCTGGCAGGGGGGGCGGGGCTACTTAAGGCGGAGTCCGGGCATTCTGGCAGCACAGGAGTTGGGCAGCAGAGACTGGCTGGGCTGGCACTCACCCACGACCCCCCTTCCCTGCCATGGTGGTCCACCAGTAGCAGGTTCCAGACCACCCCAACCCCCCCGGGACCTTTGGGCAGACCCAGCGACAGCCAGGTGCGCAAAGCCACAAGAGCTCTAACGCAAACTGGGGGCAGCTCTGCCTGCTGTGTTCTCTTATGCTTGTGGAGATGCCCAACTGACAGGAGAGCGAGCGAAGAAAAGAACGCTCCCTTTTGACCCACGCCTGCTGCACCCATGGCACTGCGGGTCAGTCTGTTGCCCCTGTGCTGCTTGGCACTTTTGGCATTACCTGCCCAGAGCTGTGGGCCGGGCCGGGGACCTGTTGGCAGGCGCCGCTACGTGCGCAAGCAGCTTGTGCCTCTGCTGTACAAGCAATTTGTGCCCAGCGTGCCAGAGCGGACCCTGGGCGCCAGCGGGCCGGCGGAGGGAAAGGTGGCAAGGGGCTCCGAGCGCTTTCGGGACCTCGTGCCCAACTACAACCCCGACATCATCTTCAAGGATGAGGAGAACAGTGGCGCTGACCGCCTGATGACGGAGGTAAGGAGGGCCTCGCCCCACCTGCGCCAGGGCATCCCCAACTTCTGGGAGGGTGAGGCTGCCTTCATCTACAGAGACCTTATTCTTAAAGAAAAGACCTCCCCCAGTAAATTCCCTTTAAAAAGTAAGAACCTGGCTGGCTGGAGAGTGGTTAGGAGGTATCCCAACAGGGAAAGGCTGGGATGGGAAGGGGGGAGGAGGGATTGACTAGTGAGAGTGAAGCTGGGAGAGGCAGGGAGGGCGGGGAAAGGAGGATGGCGGCAGGCGAGACGGGAAATGGCTGAGGCGTGGACCGGGGGTCAGCCACCGAGCCAGGCAGGAAGGGCTGGGGTGAGCTGGGGGCCAGGAGCTGGCTGGGCAGCAGACAGAAGGCTCTACCCTTAGACTGGCTCCTGACCTGACTGTGGAAAAGCCCTCTGCGCAAAGAGACTGAAGGGGGTTGGGAAAGGGTGGCCAAGGATCAAGTCACCAGGGCATCTACCTGAGGAGGAGCTGGGCAGGAAATGTCTTTGGCATAGGAGAGGTTTCCTAGAAGCAGGACAAGGCTTTTCTAGAGTCTAAATGACAGTCTTGGTGTAAGAAGCAGTCCTCAGTGAAAAGAACAGGTGGGCTCACCTGAGTATCAAATGTTTGCTGGGTCCCCCAAGCTCAGTTTAGCTCAGAAACTTTCCTTCAAATTAAAGAATTGAATTAAACTACCATTAGTGAGCATCTGCTGTAGACTGATACTGAACTGACCTAGGTGATATGGGCTATGCCTTGGAAGAGAAGGACCACCTCTGGCTTGTGATAGTATCAGAACTCAAAGGAAACTTGGAAATCACATTCCTCCAACCTCCCACCCCCACCCCTCACTTTAAATGGGAGAGCTGGGTCCCGGGAGGAAAAGCAGTTTAATCAAAGTCTCACAATTAATTAGTGGCATTGCTGGGACTAGAATTCAGGACTCCTGACTTTAAGTCCTATACACTTTCCATTACACCACCTAATTGTGTATGAAGTGAGAAGGTGGGGGGAGAGGGAGGGGTACGGATTTCCTCTGATTAATTGCCATACTTTTCCAGGTTACTTTGTTAGGAAAACCTGTCAAGGGGAGAAAGCATTTCAACTTGCTCCTGTACTGAAAGCCTTCCTCCTACCCAGAGATTGGGAAGGGTCTATTCCTTTTTTCCCCTCCTTGGTCATGGAACATTATGGCCCTTTCCTCTGCCTGCCACCTGCAGCAGAGGAGGCAGAACAAGGGACAGGCACAGGAGGGCCTCTGACAGGCCTGGGAACCCCCTCAGTCCTGCTTATCTCCCACACCCTGGCTGCAAAAGGCCTCCATTGAGTTGGCTCTGCACTGGGCTGCTGCCCCCGCAGGTCAGGGCCTCCTTAGGGGACAAAACGACAAGAAGTTGGAAGGAGCTACTGCTTTTCCTGTTCTCTCTCCCTCCACACCCCCAACCCTGCAGTTGCAGAGGTGGAGATGACTAGATATGGGAGAGTGGGGGTGGATCCCCCTGGCAGTTTAGGAAAAAAACAAGTCTGAGGTGAGGGGTCTGGGAAGGAAGAAGAAAAGGAAACTGTCCTCTGCGCTCCTCCCGCGGTGTCCGTCCTATGGTGCGCGCCAAGGTCTCCAGCTCCCAGACAGGAGAGGCTAAGATAACTGTGGCCTCACTCCCCCGGGTGCAGACTTCCAGCCGCTGCTCCTTTTCCTCCTCTTCACTCCACCCTGCAGGGGGCCCCCCAGATCCGCGCAAGGGCAGCGCTGAGTATTCTCAGGTGCTACTCCCACGAGCATCTCTGCCCAGAGATTGAGGAGAGATTGAAGCTCTCGAGGCTGGCGGAGCCTTAGCTGGAACTGGGAGGACTGGTCACGCTGGGGGAGGGGACCTGGCGGGCCAGAGCAGGGATGGGAGGCGCGGCTTTCTGCCCTTTCCTCTCTATGAGCCGGGGCGGCTGAAAAGCGCCTTTGTGGCTGGAGCTGCTGAGTCCGCTTCTCCAGGCGCGTTCCCGGCCTCGGCCCGGGATTCTCGTTCAGTTAAGTCATCCTGGAGAATGGCCATTGTACTTCGTGCAGCCCCCGCCACCCAACCCTTTTTCCAGCAGCCTTAATCCTGCACGGCTTCTCTTGGGCACCTCTGTGGGGGGCACCCAGACCACGAAGGGGTTAATGCTAGGGGCTGAAAGGAGGAGGAGGAAGGAAGGAAGGAAGGAAGCGATGCCCAGTGCCAGGGAAGGCCAGGGGAGGCAACGAAACAAAAGATGAATCAGGCGGAGGGAGGGCAGCCAGGGCCTGGGGCAGGGGCCAGGCTCAAACAGGGGCTCCTCTTGGGTAGCCAGGCCCTCCCTAACCAAACTTCCACCCGCCCTCTCAACTCAGGTCGGGCCAAGGTCCCGGAACAAGTAGGGGCTAAAGGCAGCCATTTAAAATAACGGAAGAGCTAGGTATGGGTGCCCACTCTTAATCTTAGAGGTGACCCCATAGTTCTCCAACGATGCCCTGGCAAGGGAGTGCAGAAGGACGACTACACCTATTCAGATCCTCACTTGCCCAGAATACTCAAAAACTGGTATGGAATGAACTGGGACCTAAGAACAAGGAATCAACGCTCCTATTCAAATCGTTTCGCCCCAGAGGTATATGATAGTGGTAGTGGGGAGACTGACTCCTTTATTCTTCAACAGCGTTGTAAGGAGCGGGTGAACGCGCTGGCCATTGCAGTGATGAACATGTGGCCTGGAGTGCGCCTACGAGTGACTGAGGGCTGGGATGAGGACGGCCACCACGCTCAGGATTCACTCCACTACGAAGGCCGTGCCTTGGACATCACCACCTCTGACCGCGACCGCAATAAGTATGGTTTGCTGGCGCGCCTGGCAGTGGAAGCCGGCTTCGACTGGGTCTACTACGAGTCCCGCAACCATGTCCACGTGTCTGTCAAAGCTGGTACAGTAGGGGGTGGGTGGTAAGGTCTGCCCAAAGGTGTCCCCATGAATCTACAATAGCCCTAGGGGAGACCAACTGGGAGTTAGTGTTGTAAATCACCCTTCCACTTCTGCCCAGATCCGTGGGAAATATTGTACTATCCAGAACTGGGTGAGGTCTGCATTGAGCTTGACTCATATTTTTGAGAATCTACCACCGTTCTGGAGCCGCAGGTCTCGATTCAGACCTATCTTTCCCCCCCCCCCCCCTTGCAGATAACTCACTGGCTGTCCGGGCCGGCGGCTGCTTTCCGGGAAATGCCACCGTGCGCCTGCGGAGCGGCGAGCGGAAGGGGCTGCGGGAACTGCACGGCGGAGACTGGGTGCTGGCGGCGGATGCCACAGGCAGGGTGGTCCCCACGCCGGTGCTGCTCTTCCTGGACCGGGACTTGCAGCGCCGGGCCTCGTTTGTGGCTGTGGAGACCGAGAGGCCTCCGCGCAAACTGTTGCTTACGCCCTGGCACCTAGTGTTCGCTGCTCGAGGGCCAGCTCCGGAACCTGGCGACTTTGCACCGGTGTTCGCGCGCCGATTACGCGCTGGGGATTCTGTGCTGGCGCCTGGCGGGGACGCGCTTCGGCCGGCACGCGTGGCCCGTGTAGCGCGAGAGGAAGCCGTGGGCGTGTTCGCGCCACTTACTGCTCACGGGACCCTGCTAGTCAATGACGTCCTGGCCTCTTGCTACGCTGTTTTGGAGAGTCACCAGTGGGCTCACCGCGCCTTTGCTCCCTTGCGCCTGCTGCACGCGCTGGGGGCGCTGCTCCCCGGTGGTGCAGTCCAGCCGACTGGCATGCACTGGTACTCGCGCCTCCTCTATCGCTTGGCAGAGGAGCTGCTGGGCTGAATGCCCCAGGCAGAGAAACCTTGAGACGCTTGATGAAACCCAATCCTGCTGGCTGAGATGTGGGGATGTGGGCAACAGGCGATGCAGATTGGGAGGGTGGGAGGGTAAGGGAGAAAGAGGGCTATATGGAAACTGCCTGCTTTAAGGTCAACTTTCAACAGAAAGGAGGTGATCTTTGGTCCTCGGTAGGTGGGGTTGATGGTGGCACCCTTAATGAGGACTGCTTAGCCTCTTCTTCCCCAGTGCCTTAGCCCCACCCGATAATTTTATTTTATTTACTATTTATAAATTGTAATATAACGATCTGCTTGCCCAGTCAGCCAAGATGAGGCTGCCGTCGGGCTACAACATAGCTTTAACATTGTCTGACACAGCTAGCCAAATCTGACGTCCCTCATTTTTCTGCAGGTGGGCTAATAAAGGGAAGACTTTTAGGAGCTTATTGGAAAACATCTCTATTCAGACGGTAATTCTCAGAGAGAGAGAGAGGAGATCAATCTTATTTCTGTCTCCCCCTCCTTCCTCGCAGCCTCTTTGGGACCCTATTCCTCTTTTCAGAGCTGTGTCCCAATGCATCAGCAGAAAAGACCAGAAAAGTCATGCAAGTATTTTAGGCTGCTGGGGAAAACTTCAATGTGAAAGGAGAAGACTGGCATTCTTCCCCTGAGGTTGCATACCGACTTCTGTAGAGAACTTTGTCCTGGGAGTTGGAAAGCCCATGCACCTCCCTTTTCTGTTTAGAGGGGCTCCCCTGTCCATATGGTACTCTTTAAGTATCTCAGTCCCCTATCTTTAGCAGTCCTGGCACCTCCCTCAAGGTCATGAATCAGCCTTGTCCCCATCTTACTGTGGTGGCACTCTCTGAAGGGGGCTTTTCTTCCTTCCTTCCTTCCTTCCTTCCTTCCTTCCTTCCTTCCTTTCTTTCTTCTTCCTCTTCCTCGTATTCTTTTTCTTTTTGGGGATGTCTCTGGGCCATCTGATAACCTGTGGGAATCCCTGACTAAGAACTTACAGTCCACACACAATTATAGGCAAAAGAAAGAAGCTAGAGGAAGAACTGAAATCTTTCCTTACTGCAGGGCTGCAGAGAACAAAATTGGCTTGTGGGTGTGGGTGGACAGCCTCCCCAGGCAAGAGCATGTGCCTATTACAACCTTATCTCATTTTTCATCACCAGCCCTGGTTGTTGTTTCTATTAGCTTCTTCCATCATTCTTCTTCCTCTTCCATTATTCCTGGGCTCTGACTCTCTGTCCCAGGTATTTTGGGAACCTTTGAGTTCCAACACAGTAAACACCTGGAATCAAAGGAGGCAGGAGCCCCTGAGGTAGGAAGGAAAGCTCAGAAGAGGTTGGACTGCTCTGGAAAGGCAGCATCTGAGGGGTAATCAGGGGTGGTTGATATTTAGGGGTGGGGGTGGGGCCTGCCTATAGCAGCTGTGCTGCTAAATAGATTGGTTTTGAGAATCTGAGCCTCAGAGCCTCTGAGCCCCAAGGGTCCTGCTATGTACCGCCCTCTGGTGGCCATTAGGAGAATCTAGGCTTATGCCTGCAAATGGTTCTCTTCTACACCCAAGGAAAAAACTATATTATATGGATGTGTATACTGGACAAATGTATCTCAGGAGGCAGAGATGGTAGGTGGGGCTTGTTAAGCTGCCAGGGATGAGCCACATGTGTCAGGAGCTTCCCAGAAGCCGTCTTACTTCCATTTAGAAAAGCCCTTCCAAAGAGTGGCACTTTTGCTTCCCTAGTGCATAGTTTAAGCTCTGTGGCTCATGGAAGCTGGAGGGGTAGCAGTCATATACCCAGAGTAGTCCAGACTCCCTTACACATTGAAGTTGCTCCCTCATGTCCCTCACCCTTGTAATCCTTGAGTTTAATAGTCAAGAAGTAAAAGCAAATGGAGTTCCGTGTAGTGCTTTAGGAAGGTAACATTTGGCAGTGATGTTACCTAATGTTACCTTTAGTGTCCTTCCACTCACCAATTCTCTCAATCCACACCAGGTACCTGTTGCCACCCACCCTTTTCCTGATCTCAGAAACATACTCCAAAGCTGTGGACCTTTCTTACTTTCTTTCTAAACCTGGCCTTGTTCACTCTATCAGATTTGATGTCATTCTTTTATGTCACCCATGTGATGATTAATCTGATAAACTAATTCATCTTTCTGGGTTGGTAGACTCTTTGTTTTCACTACCCTTCTCAGTTAACGCATGTATCCAACAGGCTTGCTGAAAATAACACCATAAAACCATAATGATGATTATTCCTATAGTTTTAATAAGTTATACAGGGTGTTCTTTAGAGTTAAGAAACACTTCACTTGCTCTCTCTCTCTCAAAAAAAAAAAAAAATCATGACCTATTCTTAAGCAAGTTAAGTGCTCCATCTCCAGGAAGCAGGTGGGCATACTCAGCCACCCAACATCTTCCAGTTGCAACACCTCTTTTCATCAAAAAAGTAGGGTAAGACCCTGACTGGGGAGTCAGATAGAACTGAGGATAATGCTACCTCCCTAACAGGATTGTTGATAAGGTTGTACTCGATATGAAATAGACACTCAGCAAATGTTTTCCATTCTTTACATCCATTTCTCACTGCCTTTGCTGCTTTTTGCTGTTTTTCCCCTTACCACTCCACTAAAAAGCATTATCAGTGCAAACTTTGCAGGGTTGAGTAATACCTACACTTGTTTGATTTTATGACACTCCTTTTTTCAGAAGGTGCTGTGTGACAGATTTGGGTTTGTTTTAGAACTAAAGTATAATTAAAAACAACCTTGTTTTGAAAATTTACTGAGCATTTTGCGATAACCCTGGCAAGACCTCTGCCTGCTAGGAAATCAAAATTAGAACCACCCTTTAAAGGTTCAGGTAATCCTTTTAAATTCATTCCTTTTTTTCAAGCAGGATTTTCAGAACATCAAGAGTGTAGAACTGTGTTAGGCACCCCAAAACAAAAAGATTAACAAACAACTTCTTTCCTGGAAAAGGAGACATAAAGACATAAAATGTTTAACTACTAAAGCAACATTGTTACTTAATTGGGATTAGTTGGACCAGCAGTAAATGTAACAGTGGTACAGAGAAGGCCTTGTGATGAAAGGAAGGCCTGAATAGAGTATTGATGTTTGTGTAGGGCGACAAGGCTGGAAAGAGCATTCCAGGCAGAAGGAACATCATGTGCAAGGGCTTGAAATCTGGGATTAAGATATGTAGCCTGCTGAGAGCAGAAAACTGGGAAGTGTAACAATATATAACTAATGTTTACTGAGGATTTAATACATGTCAGGCCTTGTTTTAGCACTTTACCTGCATTCTGGTTAGTCCTTGCAACTGTCCTCTGAGATGATATTACAGATGAGGAACCTGAGGCAGAGCTTTAATTCACTATCTTGGGTTGGGTACCACAGCCAGAGTGGTAAAATGAAGCAGGAGCATATGGGAAATAAAACTGCTCTGATGGGGGCGCTGGGGATACAGCTCAGTTGCCTCTCATGCACAAGGCCCTGGATTCAATCCCCAGCACCACAAACAAAAACAAAAACTGCTCTGATGGATGGGTCCAACTATGTGGGCCTTAAGCTACTGTTTACTCTTGCTCTTTCCCTTCTTTGAGTCATAATATAAAGTCCTTCTAGCTTTCTAATACTTATTTCTCTCTCATTTTATTGGCCTTTCTTCCTCCACACAGGATGTCTGACCTCCCACTAGGAGCTATCTGACCATCCAGTTAAGGAAATACATGTATTGGTTTCTGATAGGAATCCATGGGAGGCTAGCACACCCACACAAAGTATAAGAAGACCCCCAGTTCTTTCTGGATTAGAGAGAGAGAAGGGAGGTTTTGTAATGGACTGAATGTTTGTGCACTCCCCCCTTCCTATATTCAAATTTTGAAGACCTCTAAGGAAATAATTCAGGTTAACTGAATTCATAAAGGTGAGGCCTTAATCCTAGGATTAGTGCCCTTTATGAGAAGAGATACCAGAACAGTCAGTGTGTCTGTCTGTCTGTCTGTCTCTCTCCACACACACACACACACACACACACATACACACACAAAAACACACACACAAAAGGCCATGTGTGAGGACATATGTGAGAAGCCAGCTGTCTGCAAGCCACAGTCAGAAAGCTGCTATCTAGAGCCCTCATAGAAACTGAATCATCTAGAACCTTGACCTTGGACTTCTAGCCCCAAAACTATGAGAAAATAAATACCTGTTAATTAAGCCACCTGGTCTGATATTTTGTTATGATAGCCCAAGATTAAGACAAGCTTCCAGAATTTTTTGGGGGAAGGCGGCTAGGAATTAAACCCAGGGGGATGCTTCACCAATGGGTCACATCCTCAGCTGTTTTTTCTTGGGGGGATGCTGGGGATTGAACTCAGGTAATGCAACCAGTGAGCCACATCTCCAGCACTATTTTGTATTTTATTTAGAGATGGGGGTCTGAGTTGCTTAGCACCTTGCTTTTGCTGAGGCTGGTTTTGAACTTGTGATCCTCCTGCTTCAGCCTCCTGAGCTGCTGGGATTATGCTGCATCCAGCCCCAGCCCTTCTCTCTCTCTCTCTCTCTCTCTCTCTCTCTCTCTCTCTCTCTCTCTCTCTCTCTCTCTTTTCCATATTTTTTTTAGTTGTAGCTGGACACAATACCTTTATTTTATTATTTTTATGTGGTGCTGAGGATCAAACCCAGCACTTCACACATGCTAGGCAAGTGCTTTACCGCTGAGCCACAACCCCAGCCTCTTACCTTTTTTTTTTTTTTTTTTTTGTGGTGCTGGGATTGAACCCAGGGCCTTGTGCATAGAAGGCAAGCACTCTACCAACTGAGCTATATCCCCTCCCCCTTACATTTTATTTTGAGACACCGTCTCACTAAGCTGCTTAAGCTAAATTGCTGAAGCTGGTCTTAAACTCTTGATCTTCCTGCCTCAGCCTCCCAAGCTACTGGGATTATAAGTATGTGCCACCATGCCCAGCTCTGGCTCTGAAATCTTTAAAGGAGGAAGAGTCTAGTGCTAAGAAAGGGTCTTTACTTAATGAAAATAATCATCTCTCCTTGAAAAATTAGCATT